GGCGGCTCGGAGGGCCCGCGGCCGCGCCGCGGCGCCTCGCCACGCTCGCGCGGCGCAGGGCCCCGCGGCGGCCGGCGCGGCCGGGTGAGGGCGGGCCCGCGGACGGGTCGCCGAGGCACCCCGTGCTGGTAGGCCTCATCCAGGGCCACGGCAGGAGCTCGGAGGAGGAAAAGGGATCCAGAGCAATTGATTACCAGCCTCGAACTTGTCCCTATTCCGAAGACTGGCACGCCAAAAGGCGATGACAATCTTAGGGATGCGCCCTCAAAACATAAGGGAATCCCGAAGATTGGCATCGTGATGAGGAGATGCCCAGCACAGGGATAGGGATATGTTCCAGGCTGGTAAATTGAACAATATTTACTATAGAGGAAAGGGCACCCATGCCCCGACCCTCACCTTGTTTTTTACTTTTGGGTGCCTCCTGGGCGGCCCTCGTCCCCACCGCTGGATTCACCTCGAAATTCTGGTCAGAACGCACCCTGGGAGAGGTCCGGGGAGTAGCGGTATCGGTTGGAGCTCGGAGGGGAAAAAGGTACCCACATCACCAGAACAAAAATCGAGCACCAAGAAAGTACCGAAATTTGAGGGTTTTCACGTGTCCGGCTCTGGGACACATTCGCTCGACACTGTTTCGACACTGTTCTTAATAAGGGTTGGGGGGGTACTCCCCGACGGGGGTCAACCTCGCCTCGTCGGCGCTCCGCGACGGGGGTCGGAGCGCCTTCGGCGCGCGGTGGCTGCCCGCGACGGGGGGTCGATGTGGGCCTCCTCCAGGGCCACGGCAGGAGCTCGGAGGAGGAAAAGGCATCCAGAACAAGGAAACAACATGAATACGTGATCGTTTTTGTTCCCTACCTAGGCTCTGCCTAGAGGGTTCTTACTCTCTTAGCTTAAAGGGGCCGGGCAGTGCTACACGCCCCAGGCGGTTCCCCCGGTCCCCGCCCCGCGGTTCCCCCAGTCGCGCCCCCTTAGCTTGTCTTAGCTTATCTCGTCTTAGCTTAGCTTGGCTTACCTTATCTCGGCTTAGCTTGGCTTAGCTTAGCTTGGCTTATCTTAGCTTAGCTTAGCTTAGCCTAGCTTAGCTTAGCCTAGTGTAGCTTAGCGTCGCATAGCATAGCATGGCATAGCATAGCACAGTATAGCATAACATAGGCACAGTACTGCATAGCATAGCTTAGCATAGCGCCCCCTTAGCTTGGCTTAGCTTATCTCGTCTTAGCTTAGCTTGGCTTATGTTAGCTTAGCTTTAGCCTCGCTTGGGCTTAACATTAGCTTAGCTTTAGCGTAGCTTTAGTTTAGCTTTAACTTAGCTTCAACTTAGCTGTAGCTTAGCTTTAGCTTAGCTTTAGCTTAGCGCCAGCTTAGCTTCAGCTTAGCTTTAGCTTAGCGTTAGCTCAGCTTTAGCTTAGCTTTAGCTTAGCTTTATATTAGCTTTAGCTTAGCTTCAGCTTAGCTTTAGCTTAGCTTCAGCTTAGCTTTAGCTTGGCTTTGGCGTTAGCTTAGCTTTAGCTTAGCTTTAGCTTAGCTTTAGCTTAACTATAGCTTAGATTTACAGTTACTAATGCTGCTTTCCTAGGGGCTCCAACTCCTAGGTAGGGTCGCACTGGGATAAGTTTCTCCATTGATTTGTCGATCGGCGTTGGCTCCCCCTTCCTCCCCTTTCCTCCCCTCTCCCCCCCTGCCCATGGAGTAGATCTTGGTTGCTGTTGGTGCCTGTTTCGAGCAGGTGGAGTCCCTCCCCCATAGGACGCACTGCTGCAAACAGTCGCACTAAGCAGAGGTCTGGAGCCAGACCCCCCCTTCCCCCCCCAGTCCGCCCAATGTCGAAACGCCGAATTAAAAACACTTCCTACTCTCCTCTCTCCCCTGGTGGCGTCCGGGAAATGGCCGGCACCCACTGCGCTGTGGTTTTTTACACAGGATTCCCGGGAAACGGTTTTTTTTTGTCGCTTGGGCTTTTGAGTTCAACATGCTGCTCTCGCTGAAGCGCCGGCCTCATTTTCGGGCTATAGTGCTCCCGCGGCAGCGCTGGCCTCCTTTCCGCGCTTCCACTCGTTCCGAATAGTGCTCCCGCTGCAGCGTTGGCGTCATTATTTCCAGCGCCATGCCACGGGCATGGTTTTCGGTCCTTCCAAATCTATTCGAATAGGCCCCAACGTCTAGAAAATGGCCTCCCGAAAAAACCACCATCGGAACTGATTACATACTCGGTGCCGATTCGTTGATTTCTTGGGCCGTAGAAGCCCCCCCCCCCACTTTGGGGCGTCGCCACGCCATGCTATGTCAGGCTACGCGTCCTCATTTACGCGCTTCCGCACTTGGATGTTTGTTCAATCTGCTGCTCTCGCTTAAGCGCTGGCCTCATTTTCGGGCTTCCGTTCGTTTCTAATCGTGCTCTCGCGGCAGCGTTGGCCTCCTTTCCGCGCTTCCGTTCGTTCCGAATCGTGCTCCCGTTGCAGCGTTGGCGTCATTATTTCCAGCGCCATGCCACGGCATTGTTTTCGGTCTTTTCAAATAGGCCCCAAAATCTGAAAAATTGCCTCCCGAAAAAACCATCGGAAGTGATTCCACATTCGTTGTCGATTCGTCGATTTTTTGGACAGCAGAAACCATCCCCACTTTGGGGCGTCGTCACGCCATGCTATGTCATGCTACGCGTTAATATTCGACACCATGCTATGCCATGTAATGCAACGCTATGCTACGACATCCGATTGTGCGAATAGAGAGGAGATCTACGCCATGGTAAGGAATTGGAGGGAGGGATAGGACGTCAGGTATGACGCGAGCGCACCTGGCTTGCCTCTACCCCCTTGCCCGTTTTCCTTTTTTGGGGGCCTCGAGGGAGGCCCTTGTCGCCACCGCTGTATTCGCTTCGAAATCTTGGTAAGAACGCACCCCGGGAGAGGTCCGAGGGATAGCGGTATCGGTACATTTTGGCTTGCCCAGGAGCCGCAGGTGGCAGCAGGCGCTGGGCGTGGTGGGGCAGATGCGCATCTCGAAAAAGGGGAAAAAACGCCATAAACATAAAATTGTCGGCGCCTTGCGCGAATTTCTTGGATCCGCGCTGAGCCCCCCGGCGGCGCCTCGGGCGCCGCCCCTAGCTGGCTCCGCGCGCCATGGAGGGGGATCCAGCGCGGATCCAAGAAATCCGCGCGGAGCGCCAACAGTTTCTGTTCATGGCGCTTGTTCTTCTTCTGGCATCGACAGCCTCACTCCAACGGTGGTTGTGAGCAGCGCCGCCATCAGCGCCTGCGAGCGCGGCCAGCAGTGGGCGCAGGCGCTGCAGACGTTCCGCGACATCCGCACCTTCGCGCTGAAGCCCGACGTGGTGGCTTTCAACGCCACGATTAGCGCCTGCGAGAAGGGCCATCAGTGGCAGATGTCCCTCGCGCTGCTGCAGGAGGCCGAGAGCACAGCGGTGTTCCCCGACGTCGTCTCCCACAACGCCGCCATCAGCGCCTGCGCGGGCGGCCACGAGTGGGCGCAGGCGCTGTGGCTGCTGCCAGCGATGAGGAGCCGGGAGATCGATCCCAACGTCGTCTCGTACAACGCCGCCCTGCGCGCCTGCCAGAAGGCCCAGCTGTGGGGCGAGTCGCTCTCCCTCCTGGCCGAGATGGGCGCTGTCCAGCAGAGGCCCGACGTCGTCTCCTACAGCACTGCGATGAGCGCGTGCGAGCGCTCCCGTCGGTGGACCGTGGCGCTTCGGCTGCTCGACGGGATGGTGGACGCCAGGGCGCAGCCGAACCTCATCGCGTACCTCACCGCCATGAGCGCGTGGTCGGTGGGTCGGCACTGGCAGCCGGCGCTGGAGCTGCTCGAGCGGACTCGGCAGCTGTCGCCGGCGGAGCCAGGGCGGAGCCAGAGCCGCGAGGCTGGCACGCTCGTGGTGGAGCTGGTTCTGGGCGCTGGCCGTGCTGCCGAGGCCCTGGCCCTCTACCGCGAGGCGCTCCAGGGCGGGCTGCTGTGGCCTTGGCACGCGCGGGAGGCGGGCGTGATGGACTTCCACAGCTTCTCGCGCGAGGTGGCCGAGGTGGCCACGTACGACGTGCTCCTGCGCCGCCTGCTGCACGCGGACGACTGCCGGGAGGACCTCGTGGTCGTGACCGGGCGCGGGGAGGTGCGGGGCAATCTAGGGCGCTCGTCGCTGCAGCCCGTCCTCATCGAGGCCCTGCGGGACGAGCTTGGGCTCGACGTCGCCGTGGACGCCGAGAATCCTGGCCGGCTCAGGGTGACGGCCGCCTCCCTGCAGCGGCTCGCCGAGGCCTGGGGCTGCCAGGTGGCCTGAGGCGCAGGCGCCCCGTTGGCCCCAGCGTGGCTCTGGATGCCTGCTCGGTCAGGCGAGCTGAAGCTGCGTACGCGGGTGAAAACGGTCGTTCGGTTTCAGGGGAACGAACACTGGCATGAACAGAAACGCTCGGAGGTCCGCGCGGATTTATCGGATCGGCGCTGGAGCCCCCTGGCGGCGCCTCCGGCGCCGCCCCTGGCGCGCTCCGCGCGCCGAGGAGGGGGATCCAACGCCGATCCGAGAAATCCGCGCGGATTTTCGAGTTTTTATGTTTTGGAGATTTCATACGCGCATTTAACTGATTCTAGTGATGTGTTTCACGAGTGGCTGAGCATGAGCGGGTCCCAGCGTAAGTGAGACTGCGCGTGAGAAATTGAGCACACGTGCTTGGAGTGCGAAGCAATGTGAGTACGAGTGGCTAAGCGTGAGTGGTTCTGGACATGGATCGGGCCGGCTATGCGTGGGTCGACTATGGGTGGGATTTGGTATGAGTGGGTGGGTCTGCGTGCACGCCAATCTAGTTTTTACGTGGGTCGGCATAGGAATCTTGGTATTCAACGAATCCATACATGTTTGATCACGGACACGTTTGACCATGCGAGGGCTTGGGTGCGAGTGCAGCGGGAACTAGTGCCAATAAACACCGTGCTTACCTCCAGGGTGCTCTGCTATGGAAAGCGTGACGCTCCCACACCAAGCATCGATGGACATCCTCGGGTTTCAAGGCTGGGTTTCTTGTGAAAGGCTTCTTGTAGTCGAGCTACTACAGTCGACCCGCATAGTAGTAAGAATGAGCGACTCTTCCAAGGGTAGCCTTGCATTTTTGCCTTCTCGGTCCATCCTTGGCCACTTTCGTTGGCCGCGATCCGCTCGAAAAGCTTCGAAATGGGCGTCCAATGATCTTTGCATCCTTATCGCGCATCCTTATGATACGGGCTGACTGACTGTACTGTATGCCTAAATGTGTGCATGTGATCGTGTTTGTCCCGGAAAGGGCGCCGGCCCAGGGTTCTCTTTTAGATGTTTACCCCCGGTTTCGACTTGAAGGAGGCCAGCGGCATTATTTTGCGATAAAATGACAACTTTGAAGGAGGCCGGCAAAATGACGAGTTTGAAGGAGTCTAACATGGCTGGCCCGAGCTGGAACCACATGTTTTTTCATGATTAGGCCACCCAGGGGGTATCTAACATGGTTGTCCCGAGCTGGCACCGTGTTTTTACGTGTCCAGGCCACCAGCACATTCTGTAGCGCGTCCCTTTGGCACGTCCCGCGGTGCGTCCCCGTGGCACAACGCCTGGCGCGTTCCTTGGAACGCTCCACGGCGCATCCTCCTGGCATTTTCCCTTGTCAATTTGCTCTGGGGCACCTACTATGTAGACTATGTGCTCAGGCAGCTCGAGCTTAAGATCCAGATCAGTTCGGTCAGGACTCGGATGCCAGGGAGGACTCGATCCACAACACTGTAGAGCACAGTTGCGGCATGGCACATCGCAGTTCAGCACGGCGCTGGCACGTTCCGTGGCGCCTCCTGTAGCGAGTCCCCCTGGCACGTCGCGCGGCGCGTCGCCTGGCACGCCCCGTGGCACGTCCATTGGCACGTTCCGTAGCGCGTTCCCTCGGCACGCCCCGCGGTGCGTCCCCATGGCACGTCCCCTGGCACGTCACCTGGCGCGTCCCTTGGAACTTTCCGCGTCGCGTCTTCCTAGCATGCCCCCCTGTGAATTAGCTCTGTGGCAGCTACTATGTGCTCAGGCAGCTCGAGCTTAAGATCCAGATCAGTTCGGTTAGGACTCGGATGCAAAGGAGGACTCGATAAATAATGCTATAGACCACAATCGTCACGTGGCACATTGCAGTTCAGCACGTCGCGGCGCTGCTTTCGGCACGGTACGTCAAGATCGATGCACTCAGCATTGCAACTTGGCACGTTCTTTGGCACGTTCCGTGGCGAGTCCCCCTGGCACGTCCCGTGGCACGTCCATTGGCACGTTCCGTAGCGCGTTCCCTCGGCACGCCCCGCGGTGCGTCCCCGTGGCACGTCCCCTGGCACAACGCCTGGCGCGTCCCTTTGGACGTTCCGCGGCGCGTCCTCCTGGCATGTTCCCCTGTCAATCAGCTCTGGGCAGCTACTATGTGCTAGGGCAGCTCGAGCTTCAGATCCAGATCAGTTCGGTTAGGACTCGGATGCAAAGGAGATCCACAACATTACGGAGCACAGTCGCGGCATGGCACATCGCAGTTCAGCACAGCCCTCGGCACGGTACATCAAGATCGATACACTCAGGATTGCAACCTGGCACGTTACTTGGCACGTTCCGTGGCGCGTCCCGTGGTGAGTCCCCCTGGCACGTCGCGTGGTGCGTCCCCTGGCACGTCCCGTGGCACGTCCATTGGCATAGCGCGTCCCCTTGGCACGTCCCGCGGTGCGTCCCCTTGGCACGTCCCCTGGAACTTCGCCTGGCGCGTCCCTTCGCCTGGCACGTTCCGCGGCGCGTCCTCCTGGCATGTTGGTTATGTGCTCAGGCAGCTACTGGTTATGTGCTGTCATGTGATCCAGATCAGTTCGGTCTCGGATGCAAAGGAGGACTCGATTCACAACGCTATAGAGCACCACCGTGGCATGGCACATCGTAATTCAGGACAGCGTTGCACAGCACAGCCCTCGGCACGGTACATCAAGATCGATACACTAAGCATTGCATTTGCCCGTCGCCCAAGCAGGCTGCTTTGAAACGTTGCCATGTCTCACATTTCTATATTCCTTTCCAGGTTCGTGGGTCGATCATGCATCCGTAAGGGTTTCGGCCCCTGCCGCCGGTCCCCTCTCTCGGATAATGGGCAATGCAAGAGCGAAATCATGAGGCTTTGGCGCCGCCGTGAAGCAGCGTCGGGACGTCACGAGAAGATGATAGCTCATCGGCAAGACAAATTGAGATTATGATGATATTCTTGAATTCGGTGTTGTATGTCGAAGGTTTATGGCTTCGGATACGCGAATAGTGCATAATCTACTAGGGCGTATGGCTTTGGGGTCGCAAATATAAAGTAATTTACTCAGGTGTATGGCTTCGGATGCCCGACTATTGCGTAATTAACGAGGGTTTATGGCTTCGGGCACGCGATTATTTTCATAGTGTGCCAGGGTGCATGGCTTCGGGGTCGCAAATATCGCGTCATTTGCGCAGGTGTATGCTTTCGGAGACGCGAACATTGCGTAATTTACCAGGGCTCATGGCCTCGGGGACGCGAATATTGCGTGATGTGCAAGCGTTTGTGGCCTCGGGGACGCAAGTATTGCGTTATGGATTCGGGTTTATGGATTCGGGGACACGCATACAGTGTATTTTGCGACGGTTCATGTCTTCGGAAACGCGACGATCGTGTAATCACAAGTTTTTTATGGCCTCGGGGACGCGAATCTTGTATAATGTGTGAGGGCTTATGGCCTCGGGTGCGCGAATTTTTGTATTTGTACGTGTCCCACGCCCCCCCAGGAATTCAGAGCACGCGATTCGGGCGTGGTAATCCTGGCGCTTTTCGGCTCCCCCCCACTCGCGCGGTCTACAGCAAGGAACAGTAAGCAACAAGACGCAGAACTATAACAGTGGAAACTGGAAGCTGGAACTGGCGCAGGGAACAGCAAACCCTCGTCCTACAGCCTGGTGGCCCCACAAGGGGGCCGGCGGATTCATGATTTTGCCGATCGGCGCGGGCCCTCGCACCCCCCCCCCTCCCCCCCCGTGGAGTAGATCTTGGCTGTTTTAGGCGCCCGTTTCGAGCAGGTGGAGTCTCCCCTCTAGGACGCACGGTTCCAAACAGTCGCACTAAGCAGAGGTCCGAAGCTAGACCTCCCCCCTCCCTCCCCTTCCGCCCATTGCCGAGACGCCGCATGAAAGGTATGACTTGTCTAGGTTTACAAGGATTTCGTTCCCGTGAGTTTGAACAGATATGGATTGATAGGACGTGGTATGAGAGTCGCTCACTCAGTGGAGACAGGCGCTAAATGATGTCGGTGGTTTCGATGACACCCGTTCTTCACGGCTGCGTTCGAGCTATTAATGGTGCGATCTCGTGGTGGTGTTGTTTCAAGCGGTGAATGGTGTATTCAAAGTGGTTGTAAGAGGTTGAGTCACATGGCCGCGGAGTGATGTGCAGCAGCAGTTCAGGATAGGAAGGGGGCACATTGGGGCATTCAGTGAGAACGAGCGTTCAAGCCAGCTCACACCCTAAGGGTCGTCTGTTCTCTACGGACCTGTGCGATGCGGGACACTACGTGGTTCGCGGTGGATGCGGGGGTTGGCGCGCGGCCTGGCTGTATTCGTTGTTTTTTGTGTCCGACCTTCGTGCTTCCAGTCTTCCACATCCAGGTGTTCTTTTTTGCATGAGGTGCTGTTCGTAGACATTGTGATTCTAGAGTGTGTTCGGCTCGAATGCGCATCCACCCCACCTCTCGGCTGTGTCATGGCCGGCGGCGCAGGCGACGAGGGCATTTTGCGGGCTTGGGCGTCCGACGGTAGCGGCAAGTTCGACCGAGCCGAAATAGCGCACCTGGGCCCCAGGCTTGGCCGCGGGCTGGTGGCGCGGCAGGCGATCGGGGCAGGCGAGGTGGTGCTCCGAGACAAGCGAGGTGAGCTGACAGCTGTCCCCACCAAATCTTCAGGAACGGCCAGTCGTACACTGGCGCTGTGCATGCTGAGGCCCATCCTGTCGGCCACGCGCAGAGGGGGGCAGGGAGAGGGGGAGAGGCTTCTTAGAGGCACCCCTGCCTCTTACGAGGCGCGGGCCTTATCTGTAGATGCAAGGCCGGCACCTTCAAAGAAACAGCTTTTTTTTTTTGAAGAGACGAGGACGAGGACGAGGAGGAGGAGGAGGAGGAGGAGGAGGAGGAGGAGGAGGGAGGAGGAAGAGGAGGTGGAGGAGGAGGAGGAGGAAGAGGAGGGAGGAGGGAGGAGGAAGAGGAGGAGGAGGAGGAGGAGGAGGAGCCTTCCCCCCTCCCCCTGCCCCGTTGTGCGTGCCGCCCCATCCTGGGCCCAGGTGGGGAGCGGTTCCCTCCTGCCCGCAGCAGTGCCCTTTTAAGGTGGAGCGAGGCCCCGCCGCTCGCGGGGATCCCCGTTTCGGGTCGCGCGCGTCCTGGCCAGGGGGGGAAGATTCACGCAGGCAAGCGTAATCGTCGATTCCCGTGAAGATATGCAAAGTATGAGATGTGGAGGGGACGACGAAAATGCAGGATGCATATACGTTTATATATATACATATATATATATACACATATATATATATGTATACGTAAATGTATAAACATGTTTTCATAACTCGGTGTGTATATATATATATATATATATATAGATATAGATATGGGAATCCTGGGACGTGTGTTTATTGCGAAGGCCTTGCGGCATGTGTCCTCCCCAGGGGCCCCCGCTGGTGCCCCCGACCCTGGAGGGGAGGGGGGGGGGGCCGCCAAGACCCCAGGGGGGGGGGCGGTAATCTGACCCGGGAACCCCTTCCCGTACCCCCCCCTCTCACCCCCTTTCTCCCGTCCCCCCCTCTCTCCCCTTCCCCCCCCCTCTCCCCTCCCCCCTGCTCACCCCCCTCTACAATTACTCAATATGAAAATACTCTCCCTCTTCCCCTGATGGCGTCTGGGTGATGGCCGCGCACCCTCCGCGTACTGTTTTTTTACACAGGATTCCCGGGAAATCCCGGAAAACGACTCTCGCTGAGGCGCCGGCGTCATTTTTTCCCAAAATGCTGCTCTCGTTGAGGCGCCGGCCTCATTTCTGCTCCCGAATCGTTCCGAATCGTGCTCCCGCTGCAGCGTGGGCCTCATTTTCGGATCGGTGTTTGGCCTCCGTCGTTCAGGATGGCGTTCTCGCCCCAGCGCGGGCCTTTTTCTCGCGCGCCCATCCGACCGCCACCATCGCGCCGCACCGCCACCACCACCACCACCACCACCACCACCACCACCACCACCACCACCACACCCACCACCACAACAACCAGTCACCAGCAGACCAAACACCACCACCAACACCACCAAACCACCACCACCACCACCACCACCACCACCACCACCACCCACCACCACCACCACACCACCACGACAACCACGCACACACACACGCACGCACGCACGCACGTGCACCACCACCCACTACGCACGCGCGCGCGGAGCCACAGGTCCGCTACGACACGCGTCCGCGGATAGAGAAAATCAGCGCCATGGTAAGGGATGGGAGGGAGGGGTAGGACGTCAGATATGACGCGAGCGCACCTAGCTTGCCCCTCCCCCCTCCCCTCACCCCCCCTCCCCTCTCCTCCCCCCCCTCTCTCACCCCCCTTCTCCCGTCCCCCCCCCCCGCTCCCCTCACCCCCTCACCCCACCCCCGTTACCACCCGCCGTCAGGGGGGAAAGGGGGGAAAGGGGCGGGGATCTACTCGTCTGCGACGTTTCTTTCCTCTGTTCGTTTCCAAATGTCCTTGGGACCGGCGACGGCGACGGCGACGACGACGACAGCGTCTCACACACGCCGAAGGGTAGGAGGAGTCATTTGTGTGTGCGTGTGCGTGTGCGTGTGCGTGTGCGTAGGAGTGTTTGTGTGTGTATGTGTGTGTGTGCGTGTGTGTGTGTGCGTGTGTGTGCGTGTGTGTGTGTGTGTGTTTGTGTTTGTGTTTGTGCTTGTGTTTGTGTTTGTGTTTGTGTTTGTGTTTGTGTGTGTGTGCGCGGGTGTATGTGTGTGAGTGTGCGTTTGCGTGCGTGCGTGCGTGCGTGTGTGTGTGTGCGTGTGTGTGTGTGTGCGTGTGTGTGTGTGTGTGTGTATGTGTGCGTTTGCGTGCGTGCGTGCGTGCGTGCGTGCGTGCGTGCGTGCGTGTGTGTGTGTGTGTGTGTGTGTGTGTGTCTGTGTGTGTGTGTGTCTGTGTGTGTGTGTCTGTGTGTGTGTGCGTGCGTCCCTGGGCCCCATGCAGTCTGAGCCAGTTCGAGGGCGGCCAGCGCTGTTGCGTTCACAGTGTTCCCCGTCTTCTGCTGCTGGTCAGGAGGGGAGGCGCGGCCTCCCCTGGGGCGGGGGGGGGATCCGCGCGGGCTCGCGGGGGCACAGGGCGCATGTCGTTGTCCAGAGGAGGCAGGCCCGAGCACGCACGACCCACGATAAAGCAGCCAGCAAGCATCAGGCGACCGCAAACATGGATGAAGGGGGCGTGGATCAGCGACGGGTCCCGTTTCCATCGGAAACCGCGGATGTCCGCCGCTGAACGAGGCGGCACCGGCCGCATGTCGAGGAGGGCACCTCCCCCGATCCGTGGATTTTGACGACCGCGCGCCAGATCCACGGATCGCTGATCCAGGTTTGCGCGCGAGCGTTCGAGCAGATGCAAGAGCGGTGTCGCATGCCTCCTAAAGACTCTGCGATCCTCATCCTCGCGCGAACTGCTCGGGCACCGCGCACCATCCCAAAGGGCCCTCCGGCCTACCGCCCGTGGGCAGGCACCGCTGGTCGGGTGGGCTCTGCGTGGATACCCCGCCAGGGGGACTCGGGGCCCCAAGCGCGGAGGAGTGGGTGGAGGGCCTCTTTAGATCTACATCGTCCAAGGCTCCACCACGACTCCTGCCGTCCTTCGACCCGCGCGGGAGCGGCCGCGAATGGCTCCGACTCTCCCTGGAGGTCTCTGGATGTCTCCGGATGCGTCTCGATTTGCCACTGGATGGTGCCTGGATGTGCACCTGGATTCGCCTGCACCTGCCTGGACTTCTCGGGCCCGATGCCCACAGGCCGATCGGCGAAACGTCGACGAGCCCTCAGGGGCCACAAGGCCTACAGTCGGGGCCCTGAAGAAGGAACCCTTTTCGTTGGGGAGGGGCTCGGTGTTCCTTGATTGTTCTGCAGTTTGCTTTCTGTTTTCCTGAGGTTCTCCATTGGAAATCGAAGCTCAACTTATGGGAGGAAGGGGCCCCGTTCCTTCTTTAGGGTTCCTTGGGTCAACGCACCGACTGTACCGCGGCGGCCATCCGTTTGTCGCAGGCGGCAGCTCTCTCCGGGGCACGCGGCGCAGGCCTCCTCTCCTTGCCCGCCTCCTCCCCGCGGGGCCGCGGGCCGTGGAAGCCAGGCCCCGCGGCGTCCCTGCAGGCAGTCGCCCCCAGCCCCCCGGCCGCTTGGAAGCGGGGTTGCGTCGGGCGCGTCCCTTTGCAGGAGGATGGTTCAAAAATAGTGCAGACATCGTCAGGGGACGATCTGTTTTGAATATTTGTTTTTATGTATGTGTATATATATATATATGTAGATATAGGAATATTCAGGAACAGTGCAAACATAGTCGGGGGACGATGTTTTGAATCGTTGTTGTTGTTGTATTGTTGGACTATTATTGTCACTGTTCGTCCAAAAAACAGCCTGCAGGGGGACATGCCCAACCTAAAAGTAGGAGGATCGGTGCGGGTGCGCAGGTGCCTCGCTCCGATCGAGGGCACGTTGTGGGCTGGGCTTGTCGGAGAAGGAACAACGGCATGAACATAAACTGTTGGCGCTCCGCGCGGCTTGGATCCGCGCCTGGGACCCCCGGCGGCGGCTCCGGCGCCGCCTCTGGCGCGCTCCGCGCGCCGGGGAGGGGGGTCCGGCGCAGATACAAGAAATCCGCGCGGAGCGCCAAAAGTTTACGCTTATGCCGTTTGTTCTTCTTCTCTGATCTGGGCGGGGGTAAGTTGGTTCGTCTAAGCTAAGCCTGCTTGCAACGTGGCCATGACACCTCCTCTGCACCCGGAAGCGAGAACCTGACGGGCTTCCGTCGTGCGTGCAGTGATGTTTGGGGTAGGCCAGTAGTGCCACCCCTGGGGTGTCCATAAGGGCATCCGTTCCGCTCCGAGGCTCTCGCCGAACCTGCGCCGTTGGCGTGCGGCTTGTTCTCTCCTGCGCCCCTAGCGAGCACGAGGCAACAACGCCGCACATCCCCGCCAGTCGGAGGCGGCGCGCCCCGGGGGGGGGGAAGTGAGAAGGGGCAGGCCTTCTCAGAAGGCGGCTCGGAGGTCCCCCCTGTCTTCTGAAAAGTGTTCGAAGCCTTCCCCGAGACACCCAGAAACAATCTTCTCCGAGGGCGCGAGGGCTTCTGAGAAGTCCCGCCGGCCTGCGAGAAGGCCTTCTCTCACCACCCACCAAGCCGCCCCCACCCAACCCGAAGGCCCAAATCTACCCTCGGCTTCCAGCGGGGGGGTCGGGGAGCATGGAAAGAACACGCATGGAGCCCATAACCCCCCAACCGAGGAGGAGGAGGAGGAGGAGGAGGAGGAGGAGGAGGAGGAGGAGGAGGAGGAGGAGGGGGGAGGAGGAGGAGGGAGGAGGAGGAGGAGGAGGGAGGAGGAGGGGGGAGGAGGAGGAGGAGGAGGAGGAGGAGAGGAGGAGAGAGGAGGAGGAGGAGGAGGGGGAGGAGGGAGGGGAGGGGGAGGAGGAGGAGGAGAGGAGGAAGAGGAGGAGGAGGAGGAGGAAGGAGAGGAGGAGGAGGAGAGGGAGGAGGCGAAACTCGGGTCAGATATTTGAACCTTGGGGTGGGGCTGGGGTGGTCTGGTAGGGGGAGCCATTCTCCTTCTCGCGTGCCCCTCCCCCCTCGCTCGCCGCCGCAGGCGGCTCCCCAGGGTGGCGAAAAGTCCAGCTGTGGCGAAACGTCCTGGCCCGCCTATAGCCCTACCAAACAATGTTCTAAGAACCTTGTGCGGTTTCCACAACATGTTCTTAGAGCGCTTCTTGTTGGGACTGTCTTGGTTTCACACATCGGGTCGATGTTCTACGAACCTTGCTCTTGTGCTTAGAACACTCTTGGGTTCTAGGAACACTTCGTGGTAGGACTATAGGAATGCCGGGACGGTCGGTCCCTGCTCAAAAAAAGGGGGGGGGCGGCCGCCAGCTCGCCCAGAGCCGCTGGTGGGGGTCGGTATGCGTGTTGTCGGATGGGGGTCCCCGCTCGAACGGGAGCTTCCCCCAGGGTCCGACAACTCGCACCCATACCCATGGCCAGTTCCCCTCCTCTGGACCCTCCTGTGGGTATGGGTGTGAGCTGTTCGCTCCTCAGAAGGGGGGGGGCGGCCGCCAGCTCGCCCGGAGCCGCTGGTGGCGATGCAGCACGTCTTCTCCGAGCGCCTCACGCCCTGCTGCGCGCGCTGCCTCGCGCCCGCGGGCGGCCTCGAGGAGCTCCTTTCGCGGCTCCTCGCCAACGGCGCCCGGCCGCTGGCCGCCTTCCCGGAGGTCGCCGAGCACCCCATGCGGGCCGGACGAAGGGGGGGGGGATTGGGAAAGGAGGGAGGGTGCGAAATCTGCGGCCCAGAGATCCAACGCATTGAAGACATCAGGGCGGAGGTTTTTCGCAAATTTCGGCCCCCAGGGGCCCTCGCCGAGCCCCCGGACCGTCAAAAAACGACTCGGGGCAAAAAAACAGTCCTGGGGAATGGGTCGAGACTTCTGGGGGCCGCGTATTGAAAAAATCACGACATCGGATCTCTGGGCATGCATGCTGGTTTCGGCCCCACCGAGGGGCCCCTCCCTCGATATAAGTACAGGGCCGCCTCCGGCGCCGGGAGGCGCCTGGGAAAAAGCAGCTGCGTGAGCGGATTCTCAAACCCCCCCTTTGCTATCCCCCCCTTTCGCCCGACCCGACCCGTGCGGAGGCCAGCACTCTCAGGGGATCCGGATGATGATGATGCTGATGATGATGAGGAGGAGGAGGAGGAGGAGGAGGAGGAGGAGGAGTAGGAGGAGGAGGAGGAGGACGAGGAGGGGTTGGAGGATTCGCGAGGTGGGCGGGCTTCGGGTGGGCTTCGGGCGCGCCTGGAGCGGATCTGGGGCCGACCCGCGGGGGGGGGCCCTGGGCATCATCGGCACCAGCAGCAGCACAGGGGGGGCGGAAAAGAGGGGGTGATGACTAGGGGGGGGTGGATATCATGGCGTGGGCCATGATATTTCCCCAGATTTCATGGCGCCTCTCCTTATTTCATTATGTTCCTGGCCCCCCCGCTGGGCCGCGCACATGCCGCCGTTCATGATTTGCACCCCCCCCTCTTGGACACCCCCCTCTTGGCCGCTCCCGAACACAGGGGGTGTGCGTCCACCGGGGGAAGCTGCTCTCCTGGGTCTCGGTGCCGGCAGGAGTCCCGAATGCCAAGGGCTCCGCGCGGAGCGCCAGAAGTCTACGTTTACGGTGTTCTTTCCTCTTTAAACCTCCAGGCCTCCAAGACTGGCTCTCGGTTTATGTTGTTCCAACCTACTTTAGCTCTGACCACCAGAAAAAATCGAGCACCAAGGAAGTACCGAAACTCGAGGGTTTTCACGCGTCGGGCCTTGGGAGACACTCGTCCGACACTGTTTCGACATTGTGTCGACACTTTCCCTCTGGTGCTTGAAATTACTTTTCTGCGATGTGGTCCTTAAGCACCATGGGAGCAACATGACCCTCGGTCTCCGGGGAGCTCTGGCTTCTGGAGCTGAGGAATCTTCAAACATAGTCCACAGATAGTCTGGGGACCATGTTTCAGCATCTCTTGGCCTTTGTTGAACATGTTTATAGTATTGTTGCAAGTTTTCCTCGAACGTCGCCCCGTAGTCACCACCCACCAAACCACCCCAACTCAACCCCAAGGCTCACATTTACCCTCGATTTCCAGTGGGGGGGTGTCGGGAAACATCAAAAAAAACATGTGTGGAACCCTTCCCCCCCCAACCCGAAATTCGGGTCTTCGGGTTGGTCTCGGCCTCTGGGGAGCTCTGGCGTCCGGGCCCTGCTGCGAGACGCCCGGGTGGCCGGGGCACGGGCCTGGCCCTGCGGCGCCGCGGCTTGCGGGGCCCTCTTCTGCTCGCTGGCCTGCCGGGAGCAGGAGTCGGCATCGCCCAACCGATCCCCAGCCCCACCGCCATTTGGAGGGTTTCTCCGAAGGGCTTAAGGCGACCCGTCCTCCTCCTCCTCCTCCTCCTCCTCCTCCTCCTCCTCCTCCTCCTCCTGCACCATCTCCTCCTCCTCGTCCATCTCCTCCTCCCCTCCCCCTCCTCCACCTCCTGCTCCTCCTCCTTCTCAGGTCGCCTCCTCCTCCTCCTCCTCCTCCTCCTCCTCCTCCTCCTCCTCCTCCTCCTCCGGGGGAAACCGTGCATCCCCATCTCCATCCCCATCCAGAGTCCCTCCATCTAGGCCTCCTAGATGGGGTCGGAGTAGATGGAGTCGGAGAATTGCGCCGCCTTGCCGATGCATCGCTGATGCGGCTCAGCGTGGAGCCCGATTTGCTTCACGTCGACATCGCCGATGCATCGCTGATGCATCGATGCGTCGCTGGTGCATTGCTGGTGCATCGCCGATGCATCGCCGATGTATCGGCGATGCGGCGCGATCCTCCGACTCCATATACTCCGACCCCATCTCGGAGGCCTCTACTCCATCCCACCACCCCAGTTTCGAATAAAGTCGGACCGAGGTATAAGATCGAGGTCGGTTCGGGGAGGGTGCCCTACTGTTCTTCGTGCTTGTTGGATGTCATTGTGCGTCCTGGGGAGGGTACCCCACTGGATGTTCTGTGTGTTTTGGCCGACGGAGGGTCTCGTGCTCTTGAGGGATGTTCTCGCCTAGGTCCGATTGTATCCAAGCAGTGGCGAGGCGTCCTGTGTTGCCTATAGACCTACCAGCACATGTTCTAAGAACCTTGTGTTGTTTTCCACGAAATGTTTTCAGAGCATGTCTGGGTGAGACCGTCTTGCTTGAACACATCGGGTGTATGTTCTAAGAACAGTTTCTTCGTTCTCAGAACATGGTTGGGTTCGGAGAACATCTCGTGATGGGCCTGCAGGAATGCCGGGACGGTCGGTCCCTGTTCAATGCTTGCCCCTCGGAGCCCGAAGGGCGCAGCCCGTACATCCCCATCGGGGGGGGAAGAAACATCGGCCAGAGGGGCCCAGGCCACGCCTGTGGGCATATGGGGAATCGGTTGCGCAATGCTCAAGAGGAGCTCGCCCGCGGGCCCCACCGCGTGCTCTGCGCGGAGATGGCCCTCGGGGGACGGGCTGCCGCGTCCCCCTCCTCCTCCTCCTCCTCCTCCTCCTCCTCCTCCTCCTCCTCCTCATCATCATCATCATCATCATCATCATCATCATCATCCTGCTCCTGCTCCTGCTCCTCCTCCTCCTCCTGCTCCTCCTCCTCCTCCTCCTCCTCCTCAAAACACTTCCTCCCCCTCCTTCCCCCCCCTCCTCCTCCTCCTCCTGCTCCTCCTCCTCCTCCTCCTCCTCCTCCTCCTCCTCCTCCTCCTCTTCATCCTCCTCATCCTCCTCATCCCTCTTCCGCCTTCGCTGCTGGTTTTGCCTCCTCCCTCGCCGTGCCCCCCCTTAAAACCCTTCCAAGTCTTTGGGGGCTCCACAATCCGCTGGATCCGAGAGCACCTCCTCCTCACCGCCCGCCCGCACTTTTCGAGGGGGGGGGGGGAGCGGCCGAAGGGTCGTCAGGGAAGGGGGGGGGTCCTCGTTGGAGCGGGGGGAAACTCAGCCTCGTTTCACCGATCCCCAGCCCCACGGAACCATGCCACCTCAATCCCACCAGCCCACCCCCCAGGGTGAGGGTACAGTGGAAGCCCATGCCAAGAAACAGCTTGCTTGCCTCCAGGGTGCCCTCGGTTTCTTGCGTTTCGATGGTTTTGCTGTGGAGAGCGTGACGTTCGCACACTAAAAATCAATGGACGTCCTGGGGTCTCAGGGTTGGGTTTCGCGTGGAAGGTGTCTTGTGGTCGAGCTCCTGCTGTAGGCCCTGGGGAACCCGAGAGGAACACTACATCCCCACCTGGAGGGTGACCCCACGGCCAAGGCGGCCAGTGGGGCCAACGCCACGTCGGTGGGGATCCGGCCCCGCCCCAGGGCGGCGAGCGGCGGCGGCACTGGGACCGCTTCCGGGCGCACGCGAGGCGGCACCACGAGAACTTCTTGTTGGCGGCCCAGGCCCTGGCCTGGGCGATCTGCCAGGTCGCGTACCTCGGCGTGCCCGCGGAGCACGCGAAGGCGGAGCTCCTGTCTCGGCGGCGCGCAGAGGGGGGGGGGGGCGCGAGGGGTGCGGGCGGCTTGGAGGGCGTGGGGGCTTCTCAGAAGGTGGCCGGGGGGCTTCTCATGAGGCAGGGGCCTTCTTTCTCGGAAGCGCTGGGGTGCTTCTGAGAACGGCTCGTGGAGGCCAAGGGGGCTTCTGAAAAGCCCCCTGCCTTCTTGCAAGCTCCCACGCCTTCTTAGAGGGTCTCCTTCCACCTAAACGCGAACCAGGTCTGGACGATGCCATACATACAGCTGTTTCTTCTGACCCTTGGGCTTTTTCACCGCTCCTTAGAGGTATTCCTTTGCATAAGCACCCTGCTTTTGCAGACTGTTGGTCGACCAGGGGCTCATTGGTCAGTTTCGATGTTGCTTGATTCAACGAGCAAGCAATGACGAAAACGTACATGCTCGGAGGTGCGTGCGGATTTCTTGGACTGGCGCTGGACCCCCTTTCCTGGGACGCGGAGCGCGCCGGGGGCGGCGACAAAGGCGCTGCCAGGGGGCTCCAGCGCGGATCTAAGCTTGTGATCGTCCCTTCTCCCCCTCCTCCTCCCCCTCCTCCCCCTCCTCCTCCTCCTCCTCCTCCTCCTCCTCCTCCTCCCTTCCTCCTCCTCCTCCCTCCTCCTCTCTCCTCCTCCTCTCCATCTCCACCTCCCCCTCCTCCTCCTCCTCCTCCTCCTTCTCCTCCTCCTCCTCCACCTCCTCCTCCTTTTCCCTGTGGGGGGGGGGGAGCAGCGCGAGGGGGGAGGGCCTCTCCCCATCGCGCCAGCCCTCCACCCCGTGCGTGCCGCCGGCAGTCCCTGGCGCGCGCTCCCTGGCACCTGCTGCCCGCCTCGGCCCGGCGTCCCGCGGAGGGAGGCGGGCGTGCCATGGACCGCCTGGCGGTGCTGCGGGAGTCGCTGCACCTGCTCTCGCAGGCGAGTCGTTCCGCCGCATCCTCGGGGGCCTCGCCTGGCCCCCCAAGAGTTGGTCTTGGCATCGCTCGGACGTGTGCAGTTTTTCCTCGGTGAGGACCATCGAGGAGCATCTTCGATCATCTGGCGAAAAAAAAGACACGCACGAAACCGAAAAAACACAGGGAATGGACGTCCGAGCGATGGCGAGTGGTGTCGTGTCCTGGGCCCGGAGCGGGCTCGATGCGGGCTCGGCGCGGAGCCGGCGTGCTCGAGCAGGGGATGGATTGCAGGAGTGAGTTGCCCCACGATTCGTTGGTTCGTCGAGGCCGTGAGACATGCGCAGAGTGTTCGTAGATCCGCAAACATTCTGTGTCTGACTCGACGAGAGAGTCAATCCTGGGGTAAATCAATTCTGTAGTGGATGCCCCACTCGAGGTGCTGAGGGAATCGCTGCACCTGCTCTCGCAGGCTCTGTGGCGTCCAGGTTCGCAGGCGAGCTTCCTCCCCGAACTCCGAGGAGGAAGAGGCACCCATATTGCTACCCTCAGCCCGTTTTCCCCTGTGTGGGCCCCATTGGGAGGCCCTCGTCGCCCCCGCTGGGTTCGCTTCGAATTTTTGGTCAGAACGCACCCCAGGGCTTGGCATCGCTCGGACGTGTGCATTTTTTTCTCGGCGAGAACCATCGAGGAACATCCTTGATCATTTGGCGAAACAATACGTACGAAACCGGAACAAATACAGGGAATGGACGTCCGAGCGATGGCGAGAGGGGGGGTCCAGGGAGTGGCGGTGTTGGTAACTTCTGTTTTCTCCCCCAGCCTCGGGCTTCTCGACGAAAACTGCAGATGTCGCCCAGAAAAAAAAGGGGGGGAACCTTGGTGTACACTCCAGGGGGGTTGTTCGGGCATGCCCCATATCGAGCATGGACGCCCCCCATCGTATATCCGAGGGTTGGGCCCAAAGCTTCTGGTCCATCCGAAGACCCACGAAGCCTGGGATAGGGGATGCCAAGAAACACCCTGCTTGCCTCCAGGGTGCCCTGGGTTTCTTGGGCTTCGATGGTCTGGCTATGGAGAGCGTGAACTTCCCACACCAAAGATCAATGGACGTCCTGGGGTCTCAGGGTTGGGCTTCTCGTGGAAGGTCTCTTGTTGTCGAGCTCCTGCTACATCCCTTGGCTCAGGAGGGAGGGAGAGACCCAGGGAGGGCCGGATGCCCCCCCACCCGTGCAGGCGGAGGTGAAGGAGGAGAAGGAAGGTGGGAGTATGCAGGAAGAGGGGAAGGGGAGGAGGATGAGGACGACGACGAATAATGATGATGATGAGGATAATGAAGTTGGAGTCGGTGGGCAAGACGGGGAGGAGGAGGAGGAGGAGGAGGAGGAGGAGGAGGAGGAGGAGGAGGGGGAGGGGGAGGGGGAGGGGCGAAGGAGAGGAAGGCACAGCTTCTCGGAGGTCCGCGCGGACTTCTTGGGTCGGCGCCTGGGCCCCCTTGGGGAAAGCGCCTTCGGCACCGCGCCCCGGCGCGCTCCGCGCGCCAGGGGAGGGGGGTCTCGGGGGCGGAAAAGAGGGGGGTGATGACTAGGGGGGGGGGGATATCATGGCGTGGGCCATGATATTTCCCCAGATCTCATGGCGCCTCTTCTTGTTTCATTACGTCCCTGGCCCCCCCGCTGGGCCGCGCACATGCCGCCGGTCATGATTTGCACCCCCCCCTCTTGGCCGCTCCCGAGGGTCCAGCGCCGATCCACGGCATCCGTGCGGGCCTCCGAACGTGTGTGTTCATGCGCTCGTCACCTAGGGTTACCAGCCTCGAACTCATCCCTATCCCTAAGATGGACACGCCGAAAGGCGATGACAGTCTTGGGGATGCGCCCTCAAACAATAAGGGAATCCCTAATATTGGCATCGTGATGAGGAGATGCCCAGCATAGGGATAGGGATCTGTTCCAGGCTGGTAAGGGGGGCACGGCATGATCTGATCATGGCAGGGGCCATGGTGATGTCGCCCCAGATCTCACCGCCCCCTCTTCTTCTCGCAGTGCATCCCTTGGTCCCCGCCTCGTCCGCGCACGTGCCTTTGTGCCATGATACGCGACCCCCTGTTTGACCGCCCCCGGCAGGCGCTGCTTCCTGCCTACGCGGAGTCGGCGCGCGGAATCGGGTCGTTGTTCGAGGAGGCGCAGAGGAGGAACGGTTCCGACACCGCCACCTTTGCTCGGCTTTCGCCATTGGGGTCTCCTGGGGAGGTCCTCGTCACCACGGCTGGACTTGCCTCGAAATGCCGGCCAGAACGCACGCCAGGAGAGGTTAGGGGGGGGGGGGGAGCGGCATCGGCACCCCTCGGCTTCCCCAGAGGCGTTCTACTCCGAGCTGCTCGGGGAGTTCGACCTCGTGAACGTTAGCCTGGAGTCCGAGGCACAAATTGCACGACGTAGGTTCTCGGAGGTCCGCGCGGATTCCTCGGATCGGCGCTGGACCCCCCCCCCCTTCCTTAGGCGGAGCCGCCCGGGGGCTCTGGAGCGGGTCCAAGACGTCCGCGCGGACCTCCGAAAGTTCGTGCTTGTCCCATTGTGTCGGGCCGGACGAAAGGGGGCTACGAAATCTGCTGCATGCAGCACCGAGGGGCCCATTCCTCGATACATAGACGCCTCCGGCGCCGGGAGGCGCCGGGAAAATCTCAGGAGGGAACAGAAACACACCGACACAATTCATCGTCGATTCCCAGGAAAATATTGGAAACTATGGGAAGTCGGGGGGAAGACAAAAACCAAGAACCTATGGGAACATGTGGGGAATCCTGCTATCTGTGCGTGTTTATTTGTGTGCCCCAGGGCCCCTTCAAAATCAGCTACATGAGCTGATTCTCACCCCCCCCTTTGCAATCCCTAAAACAGAGCTGGGATCGGGATAAATCGCTCCAAAGCGTTCCGGAGCGCTCTCAGAGCGTTCCGGAACGCTCTGGAGCGGCCGCGGCGCCCAATACATCCTCCAAACCCGATCCGATTTTGTCCCGATCATCGTGTCGTTTTAATCCCCCCCTTTCGCCCGGCCCGATTGTGTGTGTGTGTGTGAGTGAGTGAGTGTGTGTGTGTGTGTGTGTGTGTGTGTGTTCCCCGAGGAGTACGAGCACCCGCTGGGCGCGGTCCTCCGCGCGGCGCTCGAGGACCCGCGGCACGAGCTGCACGGCCTCGCGCTGGCCTGCGGCAGCTCGGGCCTGCTGGCCCAGGTGCGGCGCATCGCTCGGGGGCCACATGCGAGCCCTACCCTTGTGGAGGACGATAATCAGAGCCCCGAATCATCAGGGGTAACTCGGGTCAGGGCTAACTCGGGTTCGTTGTTCGGGATTCCGAACCCGACTTACCCCGGACCCGACTTACCCCAGATATTTCGGGCGTCCAGAGCCCCAAATCATCAGGGGTATCTCGGGTCAGGGCTAACCCGGGTTGGTTTTTCGGGAATCCAAACCCGAATCACCCCGGACCCGAGTTACCCCGGATAGTTCGGGCGCCCAAGATAAATGGAGAGGAAGCGTGCTGCCGAAAAAGATCCAGATGTTTAGAACATGTTTTCAGCATGCGAACAAAAACATGTTTAAAACATGTTTAGAGAGCCTCTGTCCGACATGTCAAACACATATTAAATTCGATTGCAGGACTGTCAGAGTGTCCATTGTCGTGGCATCCACAACCCTACCCCCCACCCTCCCCCTCAGAAATCGTGGGGGGTCAATGGTAGGACTGTTAGAGTGTCCATTGTCATGGCATCCACAGCCCTACCCCCCACCCTCCCCCTCAGAAATCGTGGGGGGGAACCCGAAGAAGCAATTACAGAACCCCCCCACCCAAATTAGATCGTTCGGCGAACCCCCCCCAAAATAATTATCTAATTACGGTGCGGTGCTAATGATAACGTTGGGGGGGTTCTTAATTGCTTCTTCTCACCACCCACCAAACCACCCCAACCCAACCCGAAGGCTCATATTTTCCCTCGATTTCCAGTGGGGGGGGGGCGGGAAACATCGAAACAACACATGTGGAACCCTTACCCCCCCCAACCCGAAATTCGGGTCTTCGGGTTGGGTTGGGGTGGTCTGGTAGGTAGTCATCTTCGGGTTAGGGGCGGGGCTCGCATGTGGCCCCCCCGTCGCGTCCTGCCGCGGCGACCCGGGGCCCGGCCGCAGCGCGGCGGAGGCGGAGGACCAGCCTGTGGGAGGGTCTCGGGCTGCCTCCTCCTCCTCCTCCTCCTCCTCCTCCTCCTCCTCCTCCTCCTCCTCCTCCCCCTCTCCTCCTCCTCCTCCTCCTCCTCCTCCTCCTCCTCCTCCTCCTCCTCCTCCTCCTCCTCCTCCTCCTCCTCCTCCTCCTCCTCCTCCAGGCAGTCTCAAGTCGGGCCTGCCCCTCTATAAGGGGGAATCTTCAAACATAGTCGGAACATATTCTGGTGAGGATGTTTTGACATGTTTTGCATTTTCGTTGGTGTATTTTAGGCGTATTTTCGATTTCTAGTGCAAAATCCCCCTGCAGTGGGACAGGCCCGACCGAGGGTAGCCCTTGCGGGCCTCGGCAGGCGTTGGGGTGTTGAGACCGCCCCAGGCTACTCGGGAGGCCTGTGGAGGCCAGTTGTGACCACTCGGGGGACCTGTTGCGGCCAGCGTGGGCTAGTGGACCGTCTGCGCGCCACCCGAAGCCTTGTCACAGAGGACCAGGCATCGTCCTCGGAGGACGAGGACGACCTGCTGCCGCCCTTCCTCGGAGTCGGCCTCGCCCGTGCAGTGGCGCTCATGAACCACTCCTGCGAGCCGAACTGCGAGGTCGACTACAGCGGCAGCGCCGAGGCCGTCGTCACCGCCACGCGCCACGTGGCGGTCGGGGAGGAGCTCACCATCAGCTACATCGACGAGTCCCTCCCGTTCCTGGAGAGGCAGGCCATGCTCAAGGCTCAGGAGGGAAAAAAAAAATCAGACACAATTAATCTTCGATTCCCCAGAAAATATGGGAAAATATGGGAAGTGGGCGGGAAGACAGAAACCCAGAAAATATAAGAAACTATGGGGAATATTTTTATTTGTGTGTATTTATTTGTGTGTGTCCTTGGGCCCCTTCAGAGGCGGAGTACCTCTTCGACTGCGCCTGCCGCCGCTGCGCGGCCCAGGCGGCGCCCGGGCGGCCGGCGCGCTCGGGGGGCCGGCGCCGGAGCCGCAGCCCGCGCGGGGAAGCGAGCAAAACGACGCGAAGAGCGGGACAAAATCGAATCGAAGGATTGCAAAAAAACCCTTCGACGAAGGATTGCACAAAAACCTTCGAAGGGTTTTTGTTGCACTCCTTCGAAGGGTTTTTTGCAATCCTTCGACAGCTCGAAATCTCTGAGAACCGGCGGGTTTGGGGGATGTATTGGGCGCCGCGGCCGCTCCAGAGCGTTCTCCGGAACGCTCTGAGATCGCTCGAGGAGCGATCTATCCCGATCCTGGCCCTGTTTTGACGAGGTGGAGTCTTGGCAGGGGGTCTCTCGCTGTCCGCCTTCGCCTTGGGGGGGCGGGGCAGCCCGCCCGTCGCCAGGCCCGCCCGCCTGCTTCGCTGTGTCGCTGGGTCGCCCCCTCGCCGCCTGGGCCTACACCTTAGGCGATGCTTAAGAAAACTTAAGTTTTCGGCCAGAGTCTCGATTATTCTTAATGTTTCAATGTCAATCCCAAGATTTGAATAGACATTCCGGGTTTTCATTCAGATTATGAGACTATGAATTTCTTAACCCATGATTTCTAAAGCATTTCGCAGGGTGTAGGCCAGGCATGGTTGAGAACCCGGTTCAAGCAGTGGCGAAGCGTCTTGGCGTGCCTATAGGCCTACTGAACAATCTTCTGATAACCTGTCTGTGGTCTCCACGATGCGTTCTTGGACTATGTCTGGCTGGGGCTGTTTTGTGTTAACACTTCGGGTTCATGTTCTAAGAACATTGTTTTGGTTATTCGAACATTGTTGGGTTCTAAGAAAATCTCGTGGTAGGCCTATAGGAATGCCGGGACGGTCGGTCCCTGCTCAACTTTCGGCGGAGTCCATGAGGGGTGTTGTCAAGATCCAATTTTCTGACATTCGTTGGGGCCATGGCAGTGGAAGGGGAACATCCCCAACGTATCGCAGGTGAAGTAGTCCCATCAAAGTTTCGTCTGGCGCTGGTGTGCAGATGATGTCATGTGCGCCCGCTCTTCAATTCGTGCTCACGATCATGGAGGCTTGTCCGTCCAGCGGCTGGCAGCGCAACCAGGGTATCATAGACAAGTTATTCGATTCGCAGTCTGATGTAGTCCAGCACGGATCGACAGGACGCGATGCCGCTTTTGATTATGTGGTGTCGAGTTGTTCGTAGAGGACCGGGTCCTCTTGTCCGGTGGGGCGCGCTGCTCTGCTGGCGCGATTTCGTGCGCGAGGACATTCCGCAAGCTGCTCTGACAGTCTCTCGTGCGGAATCCTTCATAATTTCAGAGAGTGAATTACCTACCCCGCTTTCGCTTCCAGGCAGAACCAAGTCGTACCACGCGCCCCCTCGTCAAGCGGCCTGACCAGTACAGGTCGTAGTCTGGCATCGCTTGGGATCTTCTGGAAGCGAGGGTGGTCAAAAGCCAGGTAGGTTTGTTTGCCCCCTAATATGCTGGACCCTGGGTAGGGGGTCCGTCAGGTTACGACCAGGGGCGCGAAGACAAAATCGCGCTGCGCGCGTCGAGCCCTGGGCCGGATGAGCAGCCCTTGTCCGAGGTGGCCTCGCAGGGGCGCCAAGAGAGTTGCGCGTCGCGCACCGCAGGGCGGCGCGGGGTGAGTTGCCCGGGAGGGTAGATGGACACCAGCCGCCCAGAGGGCTGGTTGGGTAACATAGCCCGATTGACTCGCCCCCCTCGACCAGCTCAACTTCTTGCGTGCGATCGGAGCGGCTTGCATCTCCGTCGTCGTCGACGTCGACGTCGACGTCAGCATCAGATTCGTCCTTGTGTTTTTTTCCCCTCTTCCACCCCCGCCGTCTCTTTTCTTCTCGGGTCGCCGCAACGGAGAGAACGATTCGGGATGCATGCGTCTCTCCTCCCATCCCGTCCCGCCGTGGCCAGGGCGCCGCAGGCTGACCCCGCGCCCACCCGACTCATGGCGACGATGCGCGGGCGCCGCAATGGGGCACGTTTGGCGCTGCTGCTGCCCGGCGCGGCGCTCGCCTCAGACGCGGCGGCAGGCGCGCAGCCCGTGGTCTTCGAGTTCTACTACGGGCTCGGCTGCGAGAACTGCGAGTACTTCATGACGCACATGGGGAAGAACCTGCTGGAGGCGGGCCTGCCTGGCGACCAGGTCCATTCGATGCTCGTTTCGGGGACCTTTCTGGAGCCCACCTAACAGATCTGTTCGACCCCAGTTCGACTCAAGTTCGACTCAAGTTCGACTCAGGTTCGACTCAGGTTCGACTCAGGGTCGACCCAACTCGACTGACGTTCGACGCAGCTTCGACGCACGAGTGGAGCGAGTGGCTCCAGGAAGGTCCCCAGAACGAACATCCAAGGTCCAGGTCACGCTGCTGCCCGTGCTCGGCGGCAGGGGCAGCGCTCCCGAGCTCGCCCACCTCTGCGCCCTGAGGTCCGGCGTGGAAGCGCCCTTCCCCGTGGACTCCCCCGAGCTGGCGAGCGCCGCCAAGTTCGTGGCGTGCGACCTCGGCAACATCCAGCGCGACCAGGCCAGCGAGGCCGCGGCCAAGGCCTGCGCCGCAGAGGCAGGAGTCGACTGGGACGGCCTCGCGGCCTGCGTGAACGGCGACGAGGGGGTCGGCATCCTCCAGAGCGCGGCCTTCGCCGCGAAGATGCAGTCCATCCGCACGCGGCCGCACTCGGACAGCGAGCCCTACCTGTTCTTCAACGACGCGGGCCTGGACTGCGGCACGCCCTACCCGACCTCCTGCTGGGCGACCTACGGCCCCGACGGCAGCCAGAGGAATCGGAGATTGACAGACCTCCTACCCTGACACGCCAATGAGCGACTTGGCCGCTTTCGGCTCGCGAGGGGGCGCCGCGGCCACCATTTTTGTGCGGGTCCGGGTCTGTCGGTTTCGGCCCCGGGCCGTTTTCGCACTCGAGAACGGGCGTTTTTTTGTTCGAAAGGGAGGCTCGCCCACCACCGCAGGAAGCTGCCCGCGGAGGGCAGCCTGGCCTACGTGGCCTGCTCCGCGCTGCCGGGCCCGCTCCCGGCCGCCTGCAGCGCCCCGTCTGCCGCGGGCGTCGCGCCCGCGGCCGCGGCCGGCGCGGGGCACACGGCCGGGTTGGAGGCGGGGCCCCCGCCCTCCCGCCCGCCCGTTCCCTCGCGCCCCCGATGGGCCCGTGGTCCACCACCACCACCATTGAGCTGGAGGGGGGAAGGAGGTGGAGGACGAGGAGGAGGAGGACGAAGAGGAGGAGGAGGAGGAGGAGCAGGAGGAGGAGGTGGAGGAGGAGGAGGTCCCCCTTCCCCCTCCAATTTATGGTGGTGGTGGTGGTGGTGGTGGTGGTGGTGGTGGTGGTGGTGGAAAACAGGCCCATCATCCCTCGCGCCCTCCCTCCCTGCCTCGCTCCCTCCTCCTTCGAGGAGGGGGTGTCGACTGCAGAATCGACTTCTGCCCCAGATGATCGGTTCGTCCGTCGGCTCGGCCACAGATGCGTACAATTTGTTTTGCGCACATCCGACAACCGTTCCACGCATTTGTCGTAGAACCGACCGCGGTTTTCAATGCAGGGGTACGTCAATTCTGCAGTCGATCTCCTACTCCAGGCCAGTCACAGCTGGGGGAGCTGTGGCTCTTACCCCCCTCGGGGGACCCATCGATTTCGACGCCCATCACGAGAGATCGTCGACGCGATGGGTTCCCCCAGGGGGGTAAGGACCGCAGCTCCCCCAGTTCTGGCTGGTCGGTGCTCGACTCCTGCCCGCCCCTGCCTGCCTCCGTCCCCTCCCCCCTACGCAGAGGGCACGGGGTGTCGCCATGCGGCTGGCCTCCAGAGCTGGTGCAGAGCCTCGACCCCGCGGATATATCCTCGTGCTGCCTCCTCCCCCCCTCGGTGCAATTCAGGAGGGACAAAAAAACACACACAGGCAAAACGAATCGTCGATCCCCAGGAACATATGGGAAACTACGGGGAGTGGGGGGTAAGACAAAACCCCGAAAGTATGAGGAAAGATGGGGAATCCTGTTATGTGTGTTTATTTATTTATGTGTGTCCCAGGGCCCCTTCAGCTGCCTCCTCCCCCTTCGGTGCCATCGAAGTCGGTGGAAAGAACGGGGACGAAGACCAACATCAGTTCCTGTCTCGTGTTGAGCTGGGGCTCGCTGCTGGTGTCGCCGCGTACGCTGTTCGACTAGACTTAGGTGGGGCCCGTCCCTCTACAGGAGAAATACTCAGAAACAGTAAAAAAAGATAGTCTGGGGACGATGTTTTGTACTATTGTTGAGCATGGTTTGGGTACTGCTGGGGGTCCTTATGTCTCGCCCATAAAAAGAAACTCTGCAGGGGGGCACGCCCGACTTAAAAGACTACTCCAGATTTCGTAATAAAAGGGAGGGGGTCTAGACCCTCCAAGACAAGCCATTTCAGACCTCCCCCGTGGGAGAACCCTCCAAAACATCGTCCCCAGACCCCCCCATGCCCTCCAAGATAGCCTGGAAGAGACCCCCCCCGAAATGAGACCCCCCTCCCTTTATTACGAAATCTGGAGTAGGCGTCAGATTGGCCGCTGCGCCGGCGTGTCCCTCCTGTGCGGGCCCGCCCGGGGCCCCGCACACTCGCGGGAGCGCGGTGCGGCAGGCGGCGGCCTGCGCGCCCGGGGCCGGCCGCCCCGCTTCCCCCGCGGAGCCGCGCACCAGCGGTCGCTCGCACCCAGGGTCTCTAGGCCTCCTGCTGGATGGGGTCGGAGCAGATGGGGTCGGAGGATCGCGCCGCATCGCCGATGCATCGACGATGCGGCTCGATGCGGAGCCCGATTCTCTCCACGCCGACGTCGCCGATACATTGCCGACGTCGACGCCTCATCGCCGGTGCATCGCCGATGCATCGCCGATACATCGCCGATGTGTCGCCGATGTATCGGCGATGCGGCGCGGTCCTCCGACCCCATCTGCTCTGACCCCATCCAGGAGGCCTCTAGGGTCGGAGGTCGATAGTCGAGCAGTGGCGAAGCGTCCTGGCGTGCCTACAGTCCTGCCAGACAATGTTCCAAGAACCCTTTGTGGTTCCCGCGGACTTGTTCTTAGAACATGTCTGGCTGGGACCGTCTTGCTTTATCACATCGGTTTGATGTTCTAAGAGCGTTGTTTTTGTTCGTAGAACATTTTTGGGTTCTAAGAACATTCCGTGGTAGGACTGTAGGAATGCCGGGACGGTCGGTCCCTGCTCAAGACAGACCTTCTACCCCTGGCACGTCGATTGGCGAATTGGCCGTTCTCGGTTCGCGAGAGTGCGGCTCGCGGCCATCATGTTTGCGGGTCCAGGTCCGTCGGCTTCGGTCCTGGGCCGCTTTCATTGAATGGAGGTTTACTAGTGGGGGGCTTGTCCACCGCCGACAGGGTCACTCCTGCGTGGCGCCGAGCTGTCCATTCTCAGGAGGAGCAGAAACTCACAGACATAATTATAATCGTGGACGCCCAGGACGTTCTGGGAAACTATGGGGCGCGGGGGCGAAGGCGAAAACCGAGAAAGCATGGGAAGGTATGGGGAATCCTACTACTTGTGTCTATCTCTTTGTGTGTCCCAGGGCCCCTGTGAATCCGAGGCAGAAGGCCGCCTGCCCAGCAGCGGGCGCAATCGGTTCTGGGACCGCAGCTGCTGTGGGGCATCGTGCCCGGTTTTGTTCGTGCCCACCTCGGGCGTCCGAGTCCCACCTGCCTGCCCAGGGTTCAAGCAGTGGCGAAGCGTCCTGGCTCGCCTATAGCCCTACCAAACCATGCTCTGAGAACATTTTGTGGCTTCCACGAGATGTTCTTAGAACACTTCTGGCTGGGGCTGTCTTGGCTTAACGCATCGGGCTAATGTTCTAAGAACCTCGGGTTAATGCTCTAAGAATATTGTTTTGTTCTTAGAACATCTTTGGGTTCCAAGAACATCTCGTGGTAGGACTCCTAGGAATGCCGGGACGGTCGGTCCCTGCTCCAAGGGTGGGCCGCGCAGCAATCTTTGGGTTCTAAGAACATCTCGTGGTAGGACTCTGAGAATGCCGGGGCGGTCGGCCCCTGCCCAGGGTGGGTCGCGCAGCAGACCCGCTCGGCGCCCTCGCGGCTCGGAGCGGCGGGGCTCCCGGGGACCCCCCCCCCCTCCACTGGGCGATATGTGGACACGCGGAGGTCGATAGGCCTCCTACCCCTCCTCCTCCTCCATCTCCTCCTCCTCCTCCATCTCCTCCTCCTCCTCGTCCTCCATCTCCTCCTCCTCCTCCTCCTCCTCCTCCTCCTCCTCCTCTTCCTCCAGCTCCTCCTACCCTGACACGTTTTCGGTTCGCGAGAGGGCATCGCGGCCGTCGTTTTTGCGGGTCCAGGTCCGTCGGTTTCGGTCCCAGGCCGTTTTCATGGAGTGGAGGTTTTTACTGAAGGGAGGTTGGTCCACCGCCGGGACACTTGCAGACGCTTGGTCTAAGTCGGACCTGTCCCTCTACAGGAGGAACATTCAAGAACAGGGAACGGATACTCTGGGGTCGATTTGTCGGGCTCTTCTGACCATGTTTTGTTCATGTGTTGACCGTGCTTTGTCGTCCAAGGCCCGCCTGTGGGAGGACATGCCCGACCTAACTCTTTCCCAGAGGATCAAGAAGCCAGGATTCCCCAAACAGTGGGCCAAGCAAGGCTTCGCCGCATCGCCGCCCGTGGCCGCCTCGTGACCGCCTCCAGCTTGCAGAAGGTCGACTGCACCACTCAGCTTACGCCACATAGCTTGCACCACATGGCTTGCACATCCACGCTGCAAGAACTTACTGTTTGGGTTCCACGCTGGCTACCGTAATGATAAGTTCCAGGACGTCCCAGATAAATCACTTCTTGTTTGCGGTCCACGCTGGCTGACATTGTGATATGTGCCAGGGTTTCCCAGATGTTCGTGTGTTCCCCTCGGGCTCCATACATGAGGGCCCCCGTATGCGCTCCAGGACTCTTGGACCGTATCCTGAGCCAGTTGCATCATGACAGTATTGTCGCCGTATTGTCTCAGATGTCACCTGCTGCCTTCCAAACAGGCCGAGTCGTTCGGGGGGTAGCGAGGGTACCCCTTCGTCGCCAAAGCTCAGCTCAGCTCGCAGAGCTAGCCGCTAGACGATGTCCCGAACCGCTTTGAGGACGTGTCGAGCTGATCATAGCCAGCCAGTTGTTGTTTTCTCGTTCACATGCGCGCGCATTGTTTTTCGAGCTCCGAGTGATGTTGTATCGTGGGCTGACTTGTGTTTTACTGGGCAGCAGGCGGACAAAGAAGGAGAAATGGGGTACTTGTCCCAGAGGCCTTCGGAGGGATGCACGCCGCGGTGGAGCTGCGTCTAAAATGTTGAGGGAACTTGTCAGGGAGCAGAAGTAATTTGAAGGGCTAGCCCATGCGATTGCCGTATCAGTTCGTAGGCACGCGCGCCACAGGCGCCACCATGAGACACGTTTGCGGACAGGTGACGCGATGTACAGTGGGAATGAAAAGGTTGTCGCTTGTCATCTCGGGGAGAACACGCTTCGCGGGCGTTTGTCTTGAAACAACATGTTGACACGATGGAACCGCCCCCCCCAGTAATCAGCCTAGCGAGGAATCCAACCCGTATTCAGACACGGGGCGACTACATAGATTTATATATATATAGATATACACAGGAGCGTCCAATGCGCGAACACACATTGAGGGACTTGCAGTAACCTTGAAACGCCTCGCCAGACAACGTAAGATTACGCCCACCGTCATCCATTCACGCACACATTCTCACGACTCACATTGGAGACGAGGACGTCCACGAAACGTGCGAGGGATGTGCCGAACTGGCGCTGGTAACACTGCGGACTGTGCAGGGGGGCTTTCAGCGGATCTTACCATGGGGCCACGAAACGTGCGCGGGGTGTGCCGAAATGGCGCGGGTTACCATGCGGATTGTGCCACTGAGGCATTCAGAGGAGCTCCCGTGGGGGCCACGATACGTGCGTGGAGTGTGCCGAACAGGCGCTGGTTACCATGCGGAATTGCGGACTGTGCCACTGAGGCATTCAGTGGAGCTCCCGTGGGGGCCACGATACGTGCGTGGGGTGTGCCGAAATGGCGCGGGTTACCATGCGGACTGTGCCAT